AAAGAATTACCGATGAAAATTCGATCTCTACACAAATAAATATGTATATATATATACATTTTTTTAACCCGTCTTAATTTTTTGGCTGAATAAGTTTTCAACTCAGTCGAGATTCATTTACATTACTTTGTTGGGAAGCACACTAACCCTATTGAAACTGCACGAGAAAACTGATCCAATCAAGCTGTTCGATTTTCCATCAATTCAACACAACAATAAATATAAGAACCAATAATGGAACGTCAACACCAATAATGTTACCTAGATTACATTTAAGATACCTGGTTTAGTTCGGTTTGTTTGATTTTATGGTTGAAAGATTAAAAAGGTAAATCTTAATAAAAAGTAGGTAAAAATTAAATACGTATTTATTGATTCGGGAATAAAATTGAAAGTTTAATATACAAATTAACTAATTTAACTAACAGAAATATAATTTACAGCTTAATAATAATAATATTATTATTATAATAATATAATATAATATAAACAAGATTCTATGAAGAGTTTGGGCTATTGAAGCCACTGCCTCCACCTTCTGTGTCCGTTGGAGTATGCTGCGGAGTCTCCCAACCTGAACACTCGCATCCAAAAATAAACATAAATTATATATATATATAATTTGATCGTATTATATTTTTTAAACTTAGGTTAATAATTAAATTAACAATTCAACGTCTACGTATGCATTAAATTTTGTGTTTAATAGATCTAAGTGACAGACATATAACATTAAAATACATTCGACAAGATCTGTCTTACCAATGAATAGTTAGATTTTTGTTGTTTATGATAATTATAAGAGAAAACTTGCTAGGAATAATTGAATTTTGTTTTTCGTATCTCGATATTATTTTCTGCCATTTTTTTTTGTTCGGATTATGTTTTATGGGGAATAATTTTAGAATGTTTTTTTATATTCTTTTTAAAATATTACCTGTTTTACATATTTTAAGTATTAAAATGCTACGTAACCAACTTATTCATATTATTTATTACGATTATTTATCAAAATAATTTAAAATTTAATCTATAATCGCCCAAACCCACCAGTAGCAGATATTATCCTCTCTAAACTTTCCCTTTCAGACTTGAGCTATTATAGTATTAGAGCCAGTCACTAGATAGTATGCCAGCGAGGACGCTGACCCTTAAGGAGGGTGGATGAAAGTTCACCCACCACTAGCAGATATTATCCTCTCTAGACTTTTCCTTCCAGACTTAGGCTATTACAGTATTAGAGCCAGTCATCGGATAGTATGTTAACGAGGACGCTGACCTTTAAGGAGGGTGGATGAAAGTTCACCCACCACTAGCACCACTAGCAGATATTATCCTCTCTAGACTTTTCCTTCCAGACTTTGGCTATTACAGTATTAGAGCCAGTCACTGGATAGTATGCCAACGAGGGTGGATGAGAGTTCACCCACCACTAGCAGATATTATCCTCTCTAGACTTTTCCTTCCAGACTTTGGCTATTACAGTATTAGAGCCAGTCACTGGATAGTATGCCAACGAGGACACTGACCCTTAAGGAGGGTGGATGAGAGTTCACCCACCACTAGCAGATATTATCCTCTCTAGATTTTCCCTTCCAGACTGGGGTGTATTACAGTATTAGAGTCAGTCACTAGATAGTATGCCAGTGAGGACGTTGACCCTTAAAGAGGGTGGATGAAAGTTCACCCACCACTAGCAGTTACCGAATAGTATGTCAGCGAGAACGCTGACCCTTAAGGAGGGTGGATGAAAGTTCCACGTTGGCTAATTTAAAGAATGATAATGAGTTTATAATCGTGTATAGAAGTCCCACGTTGACTAATTTAAGGAATGATCATGAGTTTATAATCAAATAATACTCTCTACATTGGTATGAGACATTCTGGGGAAGCCCGAAAGCAAAGCCACGAGAGCTTATGCTCAAAACGAACAATATCATACAATTGTCGAGAGTCGTGTTCATCTAACATTATTTACAAGGGTGTGGAAGCTTCTACCTAATAAAAGCGTTTTAAACCTTTGAAGAAAAGCTAAAAAGAGAACAATATTTACCAGTAGTGAGATTGAATTGTTACGCAAACTTTGGAAAGAACCTAAAAATCCTATCTGGCATGGCGTTTGATACACCCCTGTTCATGGGGTTGTGAATGGCCAATGACCCATCAGACAGCTCAGTCCTCACATGGGCGCAGGCCATGACCCATGTGTTTCTCTCCAGACAATCCCCGCCCAATAATGATATTATTATCAAAATAAAACAAGAATTTAATAGAACGATAAATAATTACCAGTACTGGGAGTAATAATCTGGTGCATCGGAGAGTAGAACAACCCCTGCTGATTCATATAGTACGGAACATAGGGTGCTGCCGCTGATGATGGTGATGAAAATGGCGCTCTTGGAGCCGGTGATGATGAAGAACAGTCATAGCCATAGCCATAGCCATGACCATAGCCATAGCCATGGCCGTATCCAATGCCATAGCCATAGCCATAAGGTACTGTGTAATTTGGGGCGTAGGATCGGTATCTGCAAAAAGAAACAAAAAAACAAAAAACATTTGACTTCCTGTCGAGGTAAATTGTTGGTTCCTTGTAACATTGTCGCCATCGAAGAATCATGTACCTGTATGGCGGGAAAATGACCGGCGGCGGCGGAAACGACGGCCGTAACCCGCCGTACGACGCTGTGGTTTGGATTCTCCCTGTAAAATCGAGAAGAATGTTAACAGAAATCAATCGATCGTTTTCCGGTAATGAGATTGGGAAAGTTACCTCCGGACGGCGGCGGACGAGGCGGACCGAAGACGGCGATGTTACAGTTTGCTCGTCTTCCACAGATAATCGGATTTGGATTAGCGCAGGCCATTCTCGCCGATTGAGGATCTCGGAAAGTGACCTAATTACAAAATCGGAGACGGCGGAATTAAAATCGTAACCGGAAATGGAATCGGAGAGGAATAAGGAACTTACGAATCCGTAGCCTTTGGATTTGCCGGTGGTTTTATCTTTGATTATGACGGCTTCGAGAATCTCGCCGAACTGTTGGAAGAATCTGTGCATTTCGTCGGATTTGGTCTCCCAAGCGAGGCCGCCGACGAAGACTTTGGTCCATGTGGTGTCGCCGAAGAGCGGCGGGGGATTGGAGAAATGATCGGCCATGGCGGCGGCGGAGGAATGATTAGGAGGAGGAAGGAGGGCGGCGGTGGGTGTGGTGGACGGTGATGTTCATGAATTAAGAAGACAGAGAAGGTTTAATGGAGATTTATAGAAGAAATTGGAGGGGTTGTTATGTGGCGTTGGCGTTCTTTGTTTGTTTGGTTGCGGCCATGGGAGAGGAATTTCTTAATTTTGCAGAGACGGATTTGAACTGTTGAAGAAAGGGGTTGGGTTCTGGTTGGCCTCTCGCAATATCCATAAATTAATATATATATATATATATATATATATATATATATATATATAATTTTTTTTTAAATTTTAAAATACATCAATTAAATTATAAATTTAGTCTTATAATATAATTATTATTCAACCAGAACGGGAGATATTTAACTTAATTAATATTTTTACCAATTTCGTTTGCTGTTAAAATGTTATATTATTAACTGTAATATATGCTATTTTTTAAAAAATATTTAACTTAATTCAATTATGACATCGAATTCTAATCTACACTTCATGTGTTTCGATTATATTTTTATTTATCCAATTTGAAATTGTTCATTAAGATTATAAATTTAGGGTTGGATCGAGGGTTAGAAGGGTTGGCGAATCATGAAAGTTTGAACTCTTTTAAGAAATTTGTAAATTTAGTCGGACAAAGTTATAATTTGGATTTTAAAAATTAGAATTGCGTTTCTGTAATTTGATAAAATTTCTTCAACAGTTCTTAACGTTAGAAGTCGTTTATCGATCGAGCACGATATAATTTACTATAGCTTATAATAGTCGTGAGTTCAATACTATAGCTTATAATAGTCGTGAGTTCAATCCTTTATACAAGATGATACGCTTAACCTTGGAATTGAATTTTCTTTAATTATTTTTAAGATATTGGAAATTAAAATAATATTAATATTAATACATCATTAATTACAACAATTTGAGTTTAAAATGTTATATAATAAGCTTTAAATCGATAAAAATAAATTTTAATTGACGGGATTTAGTTGACTTTATTTTTTTTTCAACAATATGTCAATTTAAAATTTTGACTTCTTAATTCAAAGTACAAGTACTAACCGAGATTTATTTATTTATTTAGACTAAGCCGTTAACCACTAGGTTTTCGGGCATCGACTCGAGATCAATCATTATGGTATTGAATGATTTGATGATGAAATTATTGGTAGTTAATTTATTTGATAATATAATAGCTTAGCTAAGTTGGTTTAGAGGACATTGATGGAAATGGAAGGGCCATTATTTTGTCTATGTACATGACCCATATGAGAATCACATTTGCTGTATTTGGCTAAGCTTTATCAACTTTTTCATGGAATCTCATCTGCCTTCGTCATTACAAGATTGGATCATTTACAATTATATATATTCAACGACTAAAACTAACTAGAAATGAATTAACGGAAGATCAAATCATTCAACTATTATTTGACTACCTTAGGGCGATGTAACCAATCAATTAACAGATGAAGCATGGTGCAGGGACGTTGAGGAGCTTCGAGGGGGACAAGATACCATGTGCATGCACCATATCATATGAAACATTATGCTTGTTCAAGACGTGTTGCTTATGACTACATGTCAGATGCCTTGGTCATGTTTTTTCAAGATGTGTTGTCCAGGGCTACATGCTCGTTCTATTAATATTGTTGTTGTTTCAATGTGGGGGGTATGATTAATCACAAAATCATGTCTACACCCACTTGGGCTAAAATGCCCCAAAATGTACCATGCGAGGATGTGACTAGTTGTCAAATCTTCCTACCTAGGTTATATGTTATCAAAGTCGTCGTTGTTGCTTACTCAAGTTATATGCTATCAAATGCCCCAAAATGTACATTTCTCTCAAACATGATCCGAGGCTCGAGCATACGCCGTTATTGTCCTCGAAGTGTTCACATAGCCGACATGTTCGCTGGGTTAGAACAAATGTCACACAATCGCTGTCCTACTGTTGCAATAGTGCAATTGTGACACGTAGCATGTTATATGAGGGCGAAGGATCGTCATCATCAAGTCTCTTCAGGTGATCTGACAATATCAGTGGGGATGTAAGAACTTCATCCTAAGTACCTTAATAATCAATAACAGAAGAAAATCATTACCATATACTTCAAGTTCACTCTTGTTTATGTTAGCTCTAGAAGGCCGTGTCCTCTCTTCCACAAGTACCCACCTAGAGCTTTTTGTTCCAATGATTGCAGTCTTCAATAGGTTGATAATATTGAGATTCGACACAATGGCCTTCGCTACATAGGGATGGACTTGAGCCAGAGTTACTAATATTACAAGCAGAGTATAGCAAACGATCACAATAACATGGCAATAAACAAATTTTATGATCAGGCTCTCAGTAAATTCACGAATAACGAATAACGTTCCATCTTTTTTGATTGGTTTTGTTGTGGAGAAAGCTGTAACAGCCCATGCTCACCGCGAGTAGATATTGTCTTATTTGGGCTTTCCCTTTTAAGGTTCCCCTCAAGGTTTTTAAAATGCGTTTGGTAAGGAGAGGTTTCCACACCCTTATAAGGAATGCTTTGTTTCCCTCTCCAATCGATGTTGGATCTCACAATCCACCTTCTTTGGAGACCTAGCGTTCTCGTTGGTGCACCACCAGGTGTCTGGCTCTTATACCATTTGTAACAGCCCAAGCCTACCGCTAGCTGATATTGTCCTCTTTGGTCTTTTTCTTCTGAACTTCCCCTCAAGGTTTTTTTAAAACACATCTAGTAGGGAGAGGTTTCAGCACCTTTATAAGGAATGTTTCGTCCCCCTCTCCAATCGATGTGGGATCTCACCTATGACGACCATGATATTGGACCGGTGAGAGGACCAATGATCTGTGAGTTAAGTTTGCTGGCTCTAAATATAAATTTACTTACTCCTGTATGATATTAGATGCATTTATTGGCCCAATCATCCCTCCAATGTGGTGGGAGTAATCTTCTATGCCTTCAAACATGGAAGAGTCAGAATGAAATGATATCTTCTCTTCCTACATCATCATTATCCTGTAAACAAAAAACTATAGATCATACTCAGAGGACGGTCACATCGACTAAATAGACGAGAAAATAGCTAATCTACAGACCTCTTGGTCAAGCTTCCTGAAGAAAGGACTTCCTCATCAGTAATATTTACAGATAACTATCTTTTCTACTGGCCCATCTGAGAGGAATCCTGTACTTCACACGAGGTGGTACAATGAATTTTGCTTTGGTTCAGTCTCATAATTACAATTGGAATACTCCGAGAAAGAATTTTCTTGTAACAACTTAAGTCCACCGCTAATAGATATTGTCCTGTTTAGGATTCCTCTCGAGGTTTTTAAAACGTGTTTGCTAAAGAAATTTTTCACACCCTTATAAAGAATGCTTCGTTCTCCTCCCCGCCTGATTGTGTGATCCTACAATCTATCCCCTTCGGGGCCCAACGTTCTTATTGGCACTCGTTCCTTTCTCCAATTGATGTGGGACCCTCTAATCCACTCCCTTTGGGGCTCAACGTCCTTGCTGGCACACCGCCTCGTGTCTACCCCCATTTGGGGCTCGACCTCCTTACTGGCACATCGCTTAGTGTCTGACTCAGATGCCATTTGTAATGGCCCAAACCCACCGCTAGTAGATATTGTTCTTTTTAAGCTTTACCTTTTGAGCTTCCCCTCAAGCCTTTTAAAACACGTCTACTAGGTAGAGTAAGAATGCTCTGTTCTCCTCTCCAACCGATGTGGGATCTCACATCTCTGAAGCGCTAAAGGAGATGTATACTTATAAACCCATAATCATCTCCTTAATTAGTCGATGTAGGACTCTCCACTAACAATCCTCTCTTCGAACAAAGTATACCATAGAGCCTCCTTAGAGGCCTATGGAGCCCTTGACCAGTCTCCCCTTGATTGAGGCTCAACTCCTTTCTCTGGAGCCCTCGAACAAAGTACACCTTTTGTTCGACACTTGAGTCACTTTTTTACTACACCTTCGAAGCTTTCAATTCCCTTGTTCGACATTTGAGGATTTTAATTGACATAGCTAAGTTAAGGGCATGACTCTGATATCATGTTAGGAATCACGAACCTCCACACTGGTATGATATTGGGAATCACGAACCTCCACAAAGCCTCATACTAGTAGAGATGTATTCCTTACTTATAAACCTATGATCATCCCCTTTCACGTCCAAATCTCCCTTATCAATTCCATCTTTCGTAGACAAGTTACAAACACCCTCACAAATCCTTGCCCCATAAACATTCTCAAACCAAAACTCTTGAAACCAAATGAAAAAACAACTAAGATTTAGCATAATCACTAAATGTTCTTCACTTAAGTTTAGTAATAACTAAGAACTAAGGACGAACATTCTCTATGCTAAAAGTAAACAACCACACAAATTCACATGCAAATCCTCATAACATTATTGATTGATTGAAGTTCACAAATCTTTTCAATGTCATAAGCCAAATCAAAAAGACAATCCCTAAACAAAAGTTTCAGGTTCAGCAGAATACATATCGAATTTGAAACATAGTGAAAAACAGAGGAAAACAAGAGAGAATCGATAAACCTCGAGAATGGAGCAGGGACAGAAGAGTGAAAATCAATAACCAGAAATCTTGGAACAAGTATGAACCCTAGAAAGGTTTAGTGGAGAGACTGTAAGAGGAAGACAAGAAGATTCTGGAAGCTTCTGCTGCTGTAAATATATTTTTTTTAAGAGAGAGTGTAGATTTATTTGTATTTATTTATTTAAATATTTTTAGATCGATTATTTTAATAATTCGAGGATAAGGCCCAATGGGAAAATAGTGTGGGCCGACCCAATAGCAATACGTTGGGCCAAGGCCCAGTTTGAAACTGGTTATCCCCTTTAACAGTGGCGCTTCTCCCTTTTCGTTGTTCCCTCTCCCTCTCCCTCCCTTTTTTTTCGCAATTTACAGGACCTCATGCCGTATCCATGGCTTCCACAACTATGGTTGCTTCCCCCTCCGACGACAGATTCCGCATGAATACTCTCCCGATCATAGATCTCCGTCTCCTCTCCCAATCCGAACTCTATTGTCTCTCTCGTTTCTCCTCCTCATCGTCGTCTTCAATCTCCCAATCCAACAACGACGACGACGTTCTAATCCCCAAAATTGATCGATCTGTCTTCAACGAGTCCGCTGGTAGCCGGAAACAAACCTATTCTCGTCTTCGTCTTGCCCCTCGCAAATCTCAGTTTCCTTCCTCCTCCTCCTCCTCCACAATTCGCCCCCAATCCCCTGACCGCTTCGATGAAGAGAGCGCTGAGATTGTTACTCTCTTCAAGCAGCTCTTCGTTGGAGAGTCTCATTGTGGCGTCAATGACAGCTATGATGATGGAGATGAGGACCTGGTTCTTGTTAACCACATTTATGATGAATCGGTACCTGAATCTTCCTACGCGATTTTTCACAGTATTCCTGTTGATATCATCGATAGCAGTTACGCTCCGATTAAGCGGCGGCGAGGACGACCGCGGAAGGATAGTAATCGGTTTGCTCAGAGCAATGGAAATGCGGCTGCGAACTCCATAAGCGGATGCGATAAACGAGCGGAGGAGGATGAGATCGTAATGGTAATGCTGTGAACCTGGTCGCTTCGACCTACCTGTATACGTAAGATAACTGTTATTGTTCGTTCTTTAAATTTGATTGATTGTCCTCGATTTTTTTTATATGTTCTTTCCGTTTATTTTCCAAGTTTTACTGAAAGATTTTTTAAAATAACTTTTCTGGAAAAAAAGAAGAAACAAAGAAAATGCGAAACAGTATTTTGATTTTCGATCTTTTTTTTAAAAATTATTTTTGTAAAAATTGAATTGTTCAGAATTAATTTATGTTTTTCGACTTTCTTTTCTCAGTTTTTTAAAAATAAGTATAGTCTCGTTTATCGAACTAAGTTTTGTTAATAATCTTCTCTGTGATTAAATGAAACTTGAATTTTCTTTAAATGACTCGCAGCTTTGAAGTCCTGAATATCAGTTCTTGATTTGCTACTTTTTTTCTCAAGTTTTTTCATGTCAAGTGCATGTATTTATTTTATCATTTGCTTTTACCGATGGTGTACTTGTTGACCTTCTGCATCTGAATTTATATATTTTGATAATATTTGCCTGCGAAATGCCTGACTTGTTTTTTTATTTATTTATTTCATATTTCTACTTATTTGTTTCCTGAAATTTTACTTATTAGTTTACTGAATTTGCATGCTTTTAATTCAAACTAAACTACGGAATCTATCGAGTTAAAATTGAGTTTTCTTGGTAACCAAATGTTGTAGAGTTAGATGTAGTTTTCTTAGCAACTAAATATTATAGGATCAAATAGTTGTCCGATGAGATCAGTTAAGGTATGCACATGGTAGAGTAGGTCGGAAAATAATAATAATAATAATAATAATTTAATCAACCTAGAGGTAGTTATTTATTTTATTCCCATTGTAGTGCAGAGGAGAAAATCAGGTCGAGAGGTTGCTAATGAAGAAGAAAACCTTAGGTGAAAAAGATTCTAAATCTAATGTTCTGAATTCTCCTTTTCCAAGAAGGCTATATCTCTTTATAGCTATACTTCCATTTTTTTTGGAGGCAACCCTCTTCTCAAAAGAGTTCATCAATAGGAAGATTTTGTGCCCATGTTGTCCCTTTACTCGAGATTCTTCATTACAAAAGTAGCCTATAATTTCGTAATTCCTGCAGTGTATTGACAGAGTAAGGAGTGCCCACAAACGTGAAAAGATTTTCGGTATATTATACACACACCCAGAAGTAGAGCATATCTATTACCTTCTACGAAGTCGCTTCTGTGAATGTACTGGAAATTTGAATTGTCCCTGCTTTATGCAATCCACTCTCAGAATTGTTCTTCATGTGAAGCTCAGATTTTTCTTCAAAAATTGCAGGACTTGGAATAACATCCGATCAAATATTAAGTATAATCGTTAAAATGCAACAACATGCATTCAAAAAGTAGTTTTAGTTTGTCAATTTAAGAATATGTCAAATGGTTAAGACATATATCCTTGATCTAGAGATTAGAGATTCAAATTTCTCCACCCACATTTTCTTGAACTCAATTATAGTTTTAGCTGGGTTTGACAAAAGCCTCAGTCATATATCAAATTAGTCCATTTAAAAATTTAGTGAAAGGTGAGTAGCTGAGAGATTTTCTTCATACAAAGAAGAAGAAAAAAAAAAGGTTAACCAATTTTGTCATCCTCAAGTTATTAGCCTCCTGTCATATTCTTACTTTAGTACTGGCTCCACGTGTGATATGATGAGATTGATGTATCAATGGGATGTAAATTATGTGCTGTAATCCTTAGAAAACAAATTCATTAACTCTAGGCGGAATTAAGGCCGGTTAAGATTGTGCTACAATCACGGGTGATTAAGACTGCCTATTTTATTTCATAATAATTTTTATTTTTGTTAGACTACTATTTGGACCGAGAAAAAAGCCAAACATGGTATAGTTTTGGGATGATTAATCTAGTTCACTATAGTTCCTTTGGTGTAACAGAGGAAATCTCTTCGTGAAGCAGGAAGATGAGAGTCAAATAACTAATAAACAATACTTTGGATTTGGACAAGGAAGATATGTAATGGTTGGTTGCAGGATTGTAGCTCAGACTTTCATAAGTTTTATCTTATAGGGGAGTCTAACTTCAAGCATTCCAAAAGGATTCGGAGAGGAAGATTGTGAAATCGTGGCTTCTTAAAGAAAAATTTGTATGATTCTTGTGTTTTATTTGAGGGTTAATAGTGATGAGCTACATATATTGTCGTTAAGACTGCCCCATTTCAGGGAGACCAGAAATTGATTGATATGCCGGCCAAATGGATAGATTGAGACAAGGCCAACCTGAGGTGGTTTAGAGGGTAAATAAAAAAATGTTTTAAGTTATTTTAAAAATTAAATAGTAATAAGTGATCGAATGAGTTGGAGACAGTAATTTTTAATCACTGCATAATTAGAGTTCTGTGATGGTCTGAAAAAGAGTGGCAATGTGGTTCTTTATGAGGGGAGGGTGTGACAAAAACGGAAGGCCTTCACCATTGAAGTGGGTTAAGATTTTCCTGTTGGCAGGAAAGGGAGTTTGGTAATTTGTTGTTTGTGCAAGGAAAATGTGGCACTTATCGAAAGTACTTGCGGCGGTTTCTAGTTGGGGAACTAACTTACAATAGTACATTTCGATTGGGACCAAATATTGTGCTTCTTCGAAAATGAAACGGATGCCCTTGAAATCCGTGGAAAAGTTACTGCTAAAATCTTGTTACTTCCTTCGGTGCACCAGATTCGAGGTTGGAATGGATTAGAATAAACTGGTTTAGGCTGAGTTATATCTGTGATTTTAGAGGTGGGTGTCAACTGTCTAGGAAGTAGGAACTACGCATCTTTTGTCTTATGCCAAGTGTCAGCGTCGTCGGTGTTCAATATGGGGTCCTACATTTTGTAAAAGAATTTCAG